AAAACGTTAATTTTACGAACTAGACCCCGAAATACCCGGAGTCCTCATGACATTTACGTACAATGTGATGAAAACGGTCCCCATATAGTTTTGTGATGCCAATAAAGAATTTTGTAGGGTAGACTAAAAAAGAAAAATTGATCTTGAATTACTCCCTTCGTCCTATAATGATCTTCCCAGAGCAATATTCCAACTTCACGGGAATTTATATTTATTTGTGTTTTTTCATGGCCTATATGATAAAATAAAATATTCTTGTCACCACTTGTTTTGTTGAACTTTTGGTGTAGTTTTTAAATATGTATGTTTTATTTTTTATTTCTATACCAATATTTAAATAAAATAGATTGAAAAAACTTGGGATTTTTCTTCGTTTTGCGAACCGGGAAGATCATTAGAGGACGGAGGGAGTACTAAATTTTTGTTGGCTCCAAGATCATCTTCTGTCGGATTAAAGGGGAGTAAATTTTGAAGCATTGATAACTTCTACGACTCTATGATTGATTTGATTTGGTAATCTATTTCCAGGCTTGCGATTGACGATGTATGAGTGCCAGAAAACTTCCCTTATATCGTTAAAACCCTACTCCTCCTCGGCGTAGTAAAGAATAAGATTGTTGTGGCGGGAACAGTCCGCAACTACATTAGGGCTAGTCTCTCGCCTTTTTTTCATGATATTATGGAGCATTAGATTTCTTGCAAAACACTTGCTATTTAGGGTTCCTCGAAGTTTGGGTTATAGAATGTGTATATACTCTGATCATATTCGTTTTTTTTTATAAATAATGGTTTGCAGAAAAATGATCAGTGTGGAGGTGGGTGATGGTTCAGAAGCCAGCATTCATCACAAGAGTAAGAGCATTGGGGATGTTGTCTTGTCTTGGTCATTTGAGGATGTCCTTAACGCAGATCTTTACAAGGACGAGGTTTGCATTACCCTATTTAATTCCCCCAGGAAGTGTTTCTTTCCGGTTATACCTTATTTGGTGCTCTCAAGTTGATTGCTTCAAATTGTTCAACTATTTCCTTCATGTTATTAATTGGAATTTTTTTTATCCCTCTTGTTATGGTTTGCTATTTGGTATTAATTTGTAATGAAAAGCAATATGCTTGCGATTGTTTCATTATTCCCACATGATTTCTGTTATTTACACTTTGAAGTCGATGTTCATCGGATTGACATGATACAGTTTTTAAGTAACAAGCGTAAGTTACTTTGGTTCATAATTCCGCAATAGCAAAAATAAGTTTAAGTGGTTAAGAGTATCATGGATTAAAATTGAAAGGGGTGATGCCGAAATCCCAATTATTCAGTAACAGAGGCTTCCCATTTAGTTCCGATTTTTAGTTCTTTGCCTATTTCACTAGGCTAATGAATGAAGAATGCATCATGATTCCAAAACAAAGTCCTATATGAAGTGTTATTTTACTTGCATTCAAAACTTGAACAATCTTCAGATACATAGTCGAGGCAATAAATGCTACAATTAATCAGAATAGTTCTTCAATTCAATCATTTGCATGCCTAGCTCTCTTCATCATTCTAAATTCTCATTTATGTTTTTAAATCCTTAAAGGTACAGAGCATACCTCTTGAATTTCAGTCGCCGTCTTCCTATTTGAGAGCATTTGCTCTCCCTCTTATTGAGGAATCCCATGCTGAACTGTCTTCCAGCTTCGATACTGTGTCAAATGCATCTGCATATAGAGTAATGTCTATTGAGGCTGAAAAGGAAGAGATTGAGTTTGGTGGGCCATCTAGCAAACCAATCTTCACTATTGAGACTGAAACAAAAGAGACTGCGAATGATGCCGTTTTGCATGAGCCTGAGACAGGGGATCTCATTGCCTTCACAGATGTAATCCCAAAAGGTGCTGAAGATCTCAATAGGCCTACCATGCCCTATCTCATCGCCTTAGTTCAGAGGGTGACAGATAAAATGGACTATTTTAGGATTCAGATTCTAGCATCAAAACACATCTTGCTTGAACAAGGCAATAAGCTACTCCGGGAAAATAAAACTGTATATGCAATTTTCCTTGCTAACCTAGTGACAAATATTCGCATTTGGACTGCATTGAACTTGAAGCCCGAAGGGAGGAACTTGAAAATCATTGAGAAAGTGCTGCAACCTAGTTATTCTGTAAGCATCTTAGCATCCTGGCTTCTAAAGTTACAATCTTAGCTTTTAGATTTCTCTATTGCTATTCCAGTTGACTTGTCTGACTTTTCTCTGTCTGAGTTGTGAATTGATTATTCTCTCTCGCTTTCATTTAGCTATTTTGTTTAAATTATGAATGTGTTCTTCTATCCCACGAAATAGTGTGACTTTCAACTGCATTTGTGCGACCAACACACAGTCCAACTTAAAGATATTCTGCTTCTTTTGTTTTTCCTTTCTCATTTTCAACTGACAGAGTAGGGAAAGATGTAGTCAATGCTTGAAAAATGGAACATATTCTACTTCTAAATGCCAACTACTTTCATCCACTCGTGCGATGAATCTCAATGAGTTCCAACAAGAGGCAGTAGAAATATGTTATGCAATGAAGTATTGCCACCACGAGAGTACTACCAAACTAATATGGGGTCCTCCTGGAACAGGAAAAACAAAGACAACTTGTTCGTTATTATTTGTGCTATTAAGTCAAAAATGTAGAACACTCACTTGTGCCCCAACTAACATAGCGGTAGTGGAAGTTGCTTCACGGCTTGTGAGACTGGTGATGGACTCATTTGACAGTCTTTCTTATGGCTATGGCTATGGCTTAGGGGATGTAGTTTTAATTGGAAATGAAAAAGGATGAAATTGAATGATGAAAGTGAACTTGTTCATGTGTTTCTTGATCACCGTGTTATAGTTCTAAAAAGTTGCCTTGCTCCTAGATCCGGCTGGATTCATTTATTGGATTATTTGGTGTGCTTAGTCCAAGAACCCGAGCATCAATTTCAATTGTACTTAATGAATGATCAGCATGAGGAAACTACTGATGAATGGTATAATATTGAAGATAAAGATGGAAACTACGGTGATGCATATGGTGCTAAGGATACTGGCTTCAAATATGAGACGAACAAGAGGGTTTGGCAGGAAGTCGTTGCCAAAACTTCTAAACTAAACAAAAAGGAGTGCAGAACTGGCAGGCAGGGTTTCCAGAATAAAAAATATGTTCCTAAGAAAGACCGAAAGCTTCCTAGAAGTGGAGTGAAATTCAAATTTGAAGAGTTCATGATAAAAAAAATTGAACTGTAAAGCAGAGGCTATGAAGTTTTGTGTTGTGAATCTTATAAGTCACCTACCGACGTCGCTCCTACCTATAGGAGTGGCAAATGACATGACAAAAGCTTTAATGTTATTGGGGTATCTTCATAATTTACTTTGTAGATGTGTGGTTGCTGGTGGTAACTTGAGAGAAGTCCTAGTTAATAAAAGAGGTGAGCAACAGAATGCTAATGGATGTAGTGAGCTGGAACGGGTAAGACATGAGTGTGTGCATATACTCAAATCTCTTCCAAAGCGTTTCTTTGTCAAGGCAGATGAATATTCAATGAGAGAAGAAATCGTGTAGAGTTCATGCTTGCTTTTCTGCACTGCCTCATCATCTATCAAATTACACTCTACAGAAGTGGAGTTGTTGGTGATTGATGAAGCTGCCCAGCTCAAAGAATGTGAGTCAACCATTCCTTTGCAAATCCCTGGTCTTCGCCATGCCGTGCTTATTGGGGATGAGCAGCAACTGCCTGCATTGGTCAAAAGCGAGGTTTGCATATTCTTGATGGCTGGAACACCTTTTTTTTTCAAAAGTTAATTTAATTCACTATTGAAGTTTCTCAATAACTTGTGTCAGATTTGCAAAGAGGTCTGTTTTGGAAGAAGCTTGTTCCAGAGGTTGGCATCACAAGGTTACAAGAAGCACCTTCTCAGTCTCCAGTATAGAATGCATCCAGCAATAAGCTTATTTCCAAACAAGGCATTCTACCAAAATAGAATTTTTGATGCTCCAAGTGTCAAAAGTGAAGCATATGAGAAGAGTTTTCTGCAAGGCGACATGTATGGAACTTACTCTTTTATTGATGTGCGTTGTGGAAATGAAGAAGTGATAAATGGGCATAAAATTAGGAACATGGTTGAGGTAGCAGTTGTTTGTGAAGTAGTTGCAAATCTCTTTCAAGGTAAAACCGTTACGGATATGAAGAAGAGTCCCAAAAGAGTGAAATCTATGTGATATATAATGACTTTTGGATCCTGGTTGAAGATCTTTATTTTTAATCAGGATTTTTTTTTCTTGTTTCAGAATGTGCCAGGTGGAAACAAAAGGTCACTGTTGGGATTATATCACCATATGCTGCCCAAGTAGATGCAATTAAAGAGAACATTGGAACTGCATATAATACGTACGCATATAATGGCTTTTCTGTTGATGTGCGATCTGTAGATGGGTTTCAAGGAGGTGAGAAGGATATAATTATAATATAAACTGTGCGATCTAATGGGAGTGGATCTGTTGGCTTCCTTACTAGCAGTCAAAGGGCGAATGTTGCTCTGACTAGAGCGAGGTATTATTGTCTAATATAAAAAACATTAGAAACATTAATAATACATTATGTTGTCATGTCACCTTTGATTTTCATGAGAACGTTCTTGGTTCCCTAAACTACTGCAAGCTTTGTGTAGGCACGCTTTATGGGTTATTGGCAATGGGACAACTCTTAGAGGCCGTGATTCTATTTGGAGACAAGTTGTTAATGATGCTAAGACTAGGCAGTGTTATTATGATGCTTGTCAAGACAGAAATTTGGCCAAAGCCATGGCAGCTTCATTGGTAGATCTTGACATACTTGATATCAGAATCTATCTAGAACGGCGACTGTTCAAAACAGAAAATTGCCAGGTATGCTCCTCTCCTCCTTTTTTAGGGATCCAATTTCTAGGTTTTGCACTTCCCAGCCCAAAACAAGGGAGAAATCAAGTACTCCGTATTTACTTTTTTACCCAGCAAATCCATGCATTTGTTGTGCCACAGGCGATTTATGTCCACGACAACTTTAGGAAATCAATGGCAAAGATAAGTAACATCGGTGTCCGTAAAAAGGCCATATCTCTACTAATGAAGGTTTCAGATGGTTGGCAACAACAGCAGCCTCAGAGTAACCGCCACCTCCATCTAACAAAAGATATGCAGACTGAGCCATTGCTTTATGAGATTTATGGCCTTGTTTATATTCATGCAACTCTTGACACCGCGATGGTACCTTCCAAGTTTACTCAAGTCATCAATGTCTGGGATATACGGCCATTAGTTGATGATAACAATAACTATAAAGATCCTCTGCTGCAATTATGTTTGCAATTTGCTGCCCTCTCTCTTAGAGGATAAACCCTGACTATATAACTGGTAGGTTTTTGGCACTTCTAACTCCTTTACATATGTATATATATTTATATATTTTGCCTTTTGGACTAGTCATTCAATGCCATTTCCAGGACGTCTGGGTGCAACTGTGCAGGTTTGTTGAAAGATTTCTTTAGAGCAGAGCGTATATATACGCAAAATTTATGAGTCAATGTTTAACAAGTGTCAAATAGGAAAAAAGTTCTTTAGATAATGGCTAATCTTCTTTTTTTCGAATGATCATTATGAATTTCTTGACACCTTACCATAAATGAATATAAATATGATGTACGTTCATATTAATTTAAATTGAAAAAAAAAAACTTGGTGAATCTCGAGTTTGACTCCACCTTTGATCTCAATGTCTTCATAGATATCACAGACATGAAACACTTTTGTTAGGGCATTGGGATCAAAGCTAGGGTGTTATTTGCGGTTCCTCAAGCATGGATCTAAATTTTTTAATTCTTTTTAGTGATATTGACTCAGTTACATTATATTATCTATTCATACTTTTTCAACCAAATGACGTACAATGAACAAGTGCTTCTGCCTCTATTGGGACTTGAAAATTGAAAGAACTTCATTAATCTACGAGCTTCTTACAGCCAAGGAGAAGTTCGGCTCTAAATTTTAATGTATCACAATAGTCATAGTAAAAATAGGATGGATTGGTTGGCTTCATAGTGTTGAATCCAAATTCCACAGAAATTATTTCGGGGCACCATCGATTTTTTTGATAATAACTCTCTAGTCCCTGAGTATTTGTCCACTTTCATTTTTGCACACCATCCAATGCACTTCTTTAATCCATTTTATCTTGTAATTTCTATATTAAAAAATTATAAAAATTATATATTAATAATCTATATGTTAAGACGAATCAAACAAGATCACACATGACTATATTTAGGCTTATACATTGAGAGAATTTGATGAGTCAAAGTGCTTAGATAACAGTTCCAAAAGTCAAAAGTGGACAAACACTCAGGGACGGACCAAGTATTTGAAATATACTATGGTGTACCCTCCATTTTCTTGTTAAAACTCTCATGTCTCACATTATCTAAAATATATTATGAGGCTCCGTTTGGTACGCGGAATTCAAACTATGGAATTGGAATTGAGGACTTCAATTCCAATTCTCATGTTTGGTAGCACAAAAATTATGTGGATTTGGAATTGGTAGTGCAAAAAATGAATTGAAATTGGTGAATTCAATTCTATGGAATTGAATCCCATGGAATTTTAATTCCAATTCAATTCCAATTCCATCAATTCCGTGTACCAAACGGACTCTGAGAGTCTTTGCAATTTATGATAATGTATTCCGAAGGTATATTTCGTCTATTTATCCGTTAGGAATGAAAGTTTTGTTACTTGGATAGATACTAAATTTTACCTTTATAATCATAATTTATTAAAATTAAATAAAATTTACAATTTGTCAAGGTAAAGGAATGTTCAATCTAATGCCTAAATGAATGAAATTTATCTTCGAAGTATATATATGATATAGAGTATCATAAATTTTAAGGATCTCGGAATATATTTCTAATAATATGGGAGCTGAAAGTTTTTACTAAAAACTTAAGAGTACCCTAGAATATATTTTAAATACTGTGAGACTTGAAAGTTATTACCAGAACATCAAAGGTACCCTAGAGTACTTTTTATTTTTTTATTTTATTTTATTACAAATTTCGTGTCTTGAATTCTTGTGTTTCATCGTGGGAGTTTGTATCATTTTACCGTTGTCGTTCATATTAGCCGATAGTTCAATATTTCTTTTTGTCTTACTCTCTCCTCAATTTATATTGCCTGTTTTGGTTTATGATATTTGATTGAAATTATTTTCAAATCATTTTATATGAAAAATGATGTAGAATTAATAAGAATTATATATTAAAATACTACATCAAATGATCATATAATGGAGAGAATAATTTTGTGTGCTTGAATATGTTAAGAATATATGAAAGTCAACAAAAATATCTCTCTCTTAAATTTTTTAAAAGTAAAAATAGAGGAAGTATTATTTTTTTTTGTAAATTGACTTAAATAAGTGTGACTCATTTGAGGATATTTATAAAAGTTAGGAACAATCTTGTAAATGATTTTGTCTTAATGGAATATGATCAAAAATAAATAAGACTCACTTATTTTTTGAATTATAAGCTACTTATAAATTAGTTTGTGAGCACACAAAAATACCCTCATTAAATAAATTATAAGTTAAAAGCCAAAATGGATGGAAAGAGAATAGAGAGGAAAGAAAATGAAGAGAAAATGGAAAGAAAATGAATATTGTTTGGACAGGTAGAAAATAGAGAGAAAAGGTAAGAGGAAAGAAAATGTATTTAAAAAAAATTTTTACCCTTATTCTATATGTAAAGTGAACATAGTGGAGGTTAAAGTGTCATTTCCAAACTTTTCTCTCCCTTTGGCTAATTTTCTTGCATCTAGAGTTTAGAGGAGAAAACCTTTTACATTGGGGGTGAGAGTCAATTTCCATTCCCTCTTCATTTTATCCTGCGAACAAACAAACACTATGTTTGGTTCAAAGATTTTTGAAGGGAAAAAAAAGAAAATGATTTTCACTCATTTTCCTCACAAAAATGGGAGAAATTTAGTTTCCCTCGACTTAAAACATTTGTCTTCTCATTTTCTTTTTCTTTAATTTTTCCTCTCCAACCAAACATTCAAAACTGTTTTCCATTTCATATTCTTTTCTTTTCTCTTTCAAATTCCTTTTTTGGGAATTGTGTTTTCCTCAAACCTTTTCTTTCCCTCTAATTTCACCTCATTTTAATAGGAGAGAGAAAATTACTAATTCAAGCCAAGAATGTGAAATGGTTACCATAACATCAGCCTCAATTTAATAGGGGAGAGAAAATTACTACAAGCCCCCCTATCAAATAGCTGCGCGGTAAACTAAACGACGTTCGACATAACTAATTTTAATTTTTTTTGAGGGAACATCATAAATTAAAGTAACAACGTACAGAGTAACTATTTTCCCTCTCATTGTTTCTCTTCACTTTATCTTCTTAAATCTTAACCAACAAAATACTTCGGATTACTGCACTTTTTTTTTTTTTTTGAAACAAGGATTACTGCACTTGTTTTCCCTGGATCACACCATATTTGGAGTTCCTTTGTTGTTGACTCCAAGTCCAGGTCATTCATCCTAAAACACCCACATTTCTCGCTTTTATGCTTTCCCCTGTTTCTTGTTTTGTCCTTTTCATCACAGTACGGATTCCCCCCGACTTTGGGTTTTCTTCCATCATAATGGCACAACATCTCCATTTCTACTTTACCCTTTGAATGTTTTGATCATCTTTCTAGGAATCAATCATGGAAGCTGCAAAGAAACATGCGGAGAAGAGACGACAGGGCCAGGGGTTGTTAGATGCAGTGTTTTCTTGGTCTTTAAGGGACGTAATGGATGAGAATCTTTACAGAGACAAGGTTAATTTGTTTCTATACATTTATTTTCATTTCTTGTTTTGAGATTTTATATATATGTAACTTATGAGCAGATATAACAGGTTGTTCTTGCTCTGTTTCCAGGTGAGAGAAATCCCGAACACGTTTTCGTCTACGACTCAGTACCGCAACTCGTTCGTGTATCCATTGCTGGAAGAAACCAGAGCTGATCTCTGCTCCAACATGAAGAGCTCACTCAGGAATGCCCCTTTCTGTGAGGTCTATGATGTGAAGGTCTCAAAGGACTTCAAGCTTCCCAAAGACTTATTTTACACGATTCGAGCTAAGAAGAAGAAGAGTTTCAGTGGGGAGGGTGTAGAGCCCTACAAGCCAGAGGTGGGTGACCTTATTGCACTCTCGGATGTGAGGCCGAGGCGCATTGAGGACCTCAACAGGCCCAAGATGTCCTATCACTTGGCTGTTGTTCAAGGCCGGAAAGGCGATGGCTCCTCTTCTTTCCCAGTCTTGTCATCCAAGCCCATTGCTTTCCGGAAAGGGATCAACAGAGATGAGGTCTTTGTTGTTTATCTTACAAGTTTGACCACAAATCTTCGGATTTGGAAGTCTCTTCACATGGACCAAGAAACTGCCAACTTGGACATCATCAAAACCGTCCTGCAAGTTGATCCAAATGTTGGTTTGATTAGTTTTTCTTGATTTGTCTTTTTTTCATCAAATTCTTTAGTTATATTGATTTCAAGCATATCATAGGATGAAGGAAAATGTGCTCTTTGCACCCAAGAAGGAGGAAGCAGCAGCCTGTTGGACACTTGCATGGAAACCATACAATCATATGGATTGGACAATTCTCAGAAAGAAGCTATTCTGAGTTGTGTGAAGGCGAGACTGTGCGACCACAGGAACACGGTGAAGCTAATCTGGGGCCCACCAGGAACAGGGAAGACAAAGACTGTTGCATCCTTGTTGTCTGTGCTCTTTGATATGAAATGCAGAACATTGACTTGTGCCCCAACAAATGTTGCGGTCATAGGAGTCGCCAAGCGGCTTCTGGGGCTTGTAAAGAACAGTCTCCAGTATGACAGCTATGGTTTGGGAGACATTCTTGTGTTTGGTAATGGGGAAAGGATGAAGGTGGATGATGATGACAATCTTGGCGACGTGTTCTTGGGTTACCGGGTTAATGCTCTCAGGAGGTGCTTGTCGCCATTGGTTGGGTGGCAAATGAGTTTGAATTGGATGATCAGTTTGCTGGAAGAACCCGAAGTGGAATATCGTAAGTACAAACAGCAAAAGATGAATGGTAAGGGTGATGAGAGTGACACTAAAGAGGATCTGGAAACAGAAAGCTCAAATGATGATGATGATGGATCCAGTGATGAAGATGATGAGGAGGAGGATGAAGATTTCATGGCAAATGAAGTGATGAGAAAGGGGAAAGGAAATAAGAATTTCAGCAAGCTCCTTATTCTTCAAACCTTAAGGGTATGTTTAACTTGGAGCCTAAAATCAATCTATTGAGTTTTAGTCCATCTGTTTAAAAACTTCTGCTGTTCCCAGTTTCCTTGCATGTTATTTGTTTTCTAACATCTTTACATGGTGTTTTCTGCATGGGATCCTAAAGGAACTCACAAAAAAGGCTAAAGAAGAGTCATCTAAAAAGAAAGTGGAAGTGGAAGAAGTAATAATTTGGACATTTGAAGAATTCCTCCTAAACAAGTATAAATCTTTAAAGGGGCAATTGGACTTTTGCATGAAAGCATTGTACACTCATTTGCCTACATCTTACGTCCCGTTGAACGTGGCGAAGAAGATGATTAGAGCCCTTGGTGTACTACAAACTCTTGATGCATTGCTGGAAAGCGCGGTCAAGACTTCTGAAGACGGTCTTAGAGATTGCTTCAATGGAAATGACATTACCAGCAGCAGGTGGAGGAAGCAATTTGAAGTGTTGCAGACAACAAAATCAGAATGTGTTTCATTTCTGAAACTTCTCCAAGGATCCATTGCTCTCCCAAACTTCTTCGAAGAATATCAAATCCGGAGCTTCTGTCTGAAAAATGCAGTGCTCATTTTCTCCACTGTCTCAAGTTCTTCGGAACTGCACACCGAAGGGTCAGTGCCAATAGAGCTGCTGGTGATCGACGAAGCAGCGCAACTGAAAGAATGTGAATCAACTATCCCATTGCAGCTTTTGGGGCTTCGCCATGCAATGCTCATAGGAGATGAGAAGCAGCTTCCTGCCATGGTTCAAAGCAAGATTTGTGACAAGGCAGAGTTCGGCAGAAGCTTGTTTGAGAGGCTGGTTAAGTTGGGACATAAGAAGCACCTTCTTAATGTCCAATACAGAATGCACCCATCAATAAGTTTGTTCCCAAACAAGCAGTTTTATGACAAGAGAGTGCAGGATGGGCCTAATGTCACAAACGATGGATACGAGAGGCGATTTCTGAAAGGAGAAATGTTTGGGCCTTTTTCTTTCATTGACATAAGTGGAGGAAGAGAGGAGCAAGATGCCAAACATAGTAGCAAAAACATGACAGAAGTAGCTGCTATTGCTGAGATTGTGGCTATGCTCCATAAAGGTTTTCCTTCTTTCTTTACAAACCTGTTTTCAAAATCTTTGGTTTTGTTATATATGACTATATCTTTTGGAATGGTGATAGAGTTCCAAGCTACAAAGCAGAAGGTTCACATTGGCTGCATATCGCCATACAAGGCCCAAGTTTATGCCATACAAGAAAGGCTTGGAAACAAGTACAGCAGGGATGTTGGCAGCGACTTCTGTGTGAATGTGAGATCAGTGGATGGATTTCAAGGCGGCGAGGAAGATGTGATCATTATATCCACTGTGAGGTCTAATGGGAAGGGAGCCGTGGGCTTCTTGTCTAACTTCCAACGCACCAACGTGGTTCTGACGCGAGCGAGGTAGTGTACTATTCCGTCTGTCCCTTTGTGTTGAAGACACAAAGTCCTACATCCAAGACTCAAGTTTTCTTGTTTTGTTTGTGCTGTTTGAATAGGTATTGCCTTTGGGTATTGGGAAATAGCTCTACCTTGATCAATAGTGGGTCAGTTTGGAGGGACTTAGTGGTAGATTCGAAGGCCCGGGGTTGTTACTATGATGCCTGCAATGACTTGAACTTGGAGAAAGCCATTGCAGATGCATCAGATGATCTTGCAACCAGGTTTTCATCAATGAGACTGAGTGATAGGCTTGGATCCAGCTCTTCCAGCACTTATAGGTGATTCATTATTAATTTATTTTATTACAAAATCTTTATTTATTAGTCCATATATTGTCTTTGAACTTGTTTATTGATTGAGGGTGCAAAATGAGATTGAGAAAATTGTTGTCATATTTACTGAATCAGGAACAGGAATTTTTTCAGAAGAACATAGCTGGGGTTCTGTTGAAGACTGGTTTGGTTTGTTTTGTTTTGTTTTGCTGCTGGAAGGTAAATGGCTCTTTGGAATTTGCCTAAGAGGTGTTCTGCACCCAAAAAGAATATATAGACTTTTCAACCTATTTTATTATGATGACTTGTTTGGAATATTGAACAGCTAATTAAGCCCCATGCAAGATATATAAAGGATAAATTTCATTTTTTGCTTGTGAGTTCCCAAACTATAAGTTAAACATATTCAAAAATTTCTCTAAAGTACGTACTACTCCCTACGTCACCAATGATGGAGAAGTGGTGGCAACTTGGAAAAATTGGTACACAAATCAAAGAAAATGTTAACTAACCTAAGAAACCTAGTTGGGGTTTACCTCTTTGCTTCGGTCAAGATAGATAACTTTGTTTGATTAAGATCGATATTATAACTCGGCTATATATATAGAGATAATCTTCTCCCAATAGATTATCAAGAATATAATAAACCCTGGATTTTACTTTTGTCTTATTGGAGTCCGAAAATGCTCATAATTTCTCTCTATTTGATACGTTTTGTCGATCTAAGCATCCTATTTTAAAAAGAATGATCCAACCTAGGACAAAAACATCGAATATTTTTACATAAATATAATGTTGCTTTTAGTGCATACTGTCTTTGCAGTTGAACAATAATTTTGTTTTTTAGTGCATAGTGCATTAGCGAATGGGTAGTGATGCCAATTTCCAGTGCATAGATATGCTGCTTTCATGATTGGTAGTAATGTTAAATTTTAAAGGACTGTACAGTCTTTTTAGTGATATAATGTTTTAGTTCTAGGCAGAGATGACAATCACATCAATCGGATTGGTTTCGATTTGAAATGATTCGGTTCGGATATCGTTTGATATTTGTTATAATCAATTCAGTTCGGTGTAACTTCTATATTGATTTAATTTGGTTCCATACATTTTTTGGTTCTAGCATTCATCATTTAACTTGAAAGTAAAAGTTGAAGGAAATAATCCATAAATATTGACACCGACATCACCAACAATGCCAACATCATTTTGAATTACCCGAAATGTTGGATCTGAATTTGCATTGTTGGGAGCTTAGCGTGGAGAGACAGTGTGCTGTTATGGATAGTAGAATAGGTTATTTATTATTATTATTTTATTATTATTATTATTATTATTATTATTATTATTATTATATTATTATTATTATTATTATTATTTTATTATTATTATTATTATTATTTGTGTGATTCACAATCTTCCTTACTCGTTATTTTTATTTTAAAACATCAATATAAACCTCATTTTCTTATTTCTTGATTTACCTGTCACAGGTTTTGATACTTTGTATATCCCCAAAAAAAGACACTAACAAAGTTAATTTTCCTTTAAAAACTACTATATGAAATGATTTACTTCTAATTGATTATTAAAAGAACGATTTAGTAATTTTTAAAAATTATTATATGAAAATATTTACTTCAAATTGATTATTAAAAGAACGATTTAGTAATTTTTAAAAATTACCATGTGAAATGATTTACTTCTAATTGATTGTACGTAGTATTGTTTTTTTAATTCGGTTTTTTATTTCAAGCAGAATTCACAGTGTTCCAATTTCTAGTTCTTGTGGCAATTCATGGTTCCTAAGACTTCAGATTGAGATACTTCCTTAATAGAACCACATTTTGATATTATTTGAGTAAATGTTTTAGCCTATTAGCTCAATGATAGAGCCTCATGTTGAATTATTGATAGCGCATGAATATATATATATGGTTCAAGTCCCACATAGCCACATAGGCTTGTTATGAACACATAAATTGGAAGTTAGATAAATAAGTATGCATATCAATATGATACCCCTTTTACTCAGGAAAAAAAATGATTTTGTCAGAGCCATTTGTATAAAGTTCTCCATGTCTGTTTTGGTTTTTCTATATTGTTTTCTAATAACTGACGTATGGAATACATAAACACATAGAATGCTCATCAGTATTACTTTGTATGCATAAACACATAGAATGCTCATAAATATTAGCATTAAAATTATAATTCGCATGAAACCAATAATAAGTTGTCCTCTATTCATTCAGAAAGAGACATGATATTCTTCAAATTACAGTGAGCAGCTTCAGCAAGACTTCATTATTCTTCAAATTCAACCTGTTTTTCAAAGCACCATCATCATCAAAACATTCTTTAGCAGCTTCTGATACGAGTAGTATCGGTTGGGGAGACTCGGAGCGTCTCCTTGCTCGGGAAGGGAGAAGGGAACGGAGAAGCCGGAGTTGAGACTCGACGGCATGAGAGGGAGAAAGAGAGAATTAGAGAGAGATTAGGGTTTAATGTATTTCTTCTTATTATTAAGCAAGAGGCTTAGACCTTATTTATAATAACCCTATTCCTAAAACTATGTTATCTATCCTGACGGTTCAAGAAAAGCGACGAGGTAAAGAAACCGTAAAGAAACCCTCGAAGGAGCTTATATTTTGCTCACCTAAGAAAATCTATATTACATTAAATAAATGGAAATAATAATAATATGCATAATAGAATTATTGCATGGCAAACTCTCGTTGCCACGGGGGTGCTCGCCGAACCCTACGGCTTTGTCGAAGAGTTGGGCTGGGCTCTTCTTGATCCATAACACTCTCCCGCGCATCAGAAACCACCTTGAGGTAAATTAGGGAAATCACGTCGGATTGCTGCAGCCGGTTCCCAAGTAGCGTCCTCTAGCGTGCCATCACTCCAACGCACCAAGTACTGCTCTTCGGGGACACCATTTTGTAAGACCCGACGTGTGTCATGAATTTGCACCGGAACAGACGGCAACCTGCCATCCACAAGGTCAGTGGGCAAGGGCAAGATAGGAGGGGAAGAGGCAGTCCCCTTAATCGGCCGTAAAAGAGAGACGTGAAAAACCGGGTGTATACGACATGTCTCGGGCAGCTTAAGGCGATATGCCACTGGTCCAATGCGCTCAAGAACTTCAAACGGGCCAAAAAAACGCATGGACAGTTTCTGTGAAACCCGACGAGCCACTGAAGTTTGACGGTAGGGCTGTAATTTCAAGAGAACCAGGTCGCCCACCGCGAATTCCACCTCGCGTCGCTTGCGGTCTGCCAACATTTTCATCCGGTGCTGGGCGGCCTGCAAATCAGCCCGTAGACGACGCAACAAAGCATCGCGCTCGGCCAAGATATCGTCCACCGCCTGTACACGACTAGCACCTCGAGTATAGGGCACCAACTCCGGTGGGGGACGTCCGTAAACAACCTGAAATGGGGTGACCTTCAACCCTTGATGCAGACTAGTGTTCACCGAGTACTCGGCCCACGGTAGGAATGTCGTCCAGCGTGTGGGGCGGGAGTGGACAAACGCACGCAGGTACTGCTCCAAGGTGCGATTAAGGACCTCTGTTTGGCCGTCCGTCTGAGGGTGGAAGGCACTACTGTGTTTTAACGTGGTTCCACTCAAAGCATGCAATTCTCGCCAAAAAGTGCTAGTGAAGACTTTGTCGCGATCCGAAACTATAGACTTTGGAAAACCATGAAGCTTAACCACCATAGCAGTGAACAAAACAGCGGTCCGTTGGGCATTGAAATCTGCGGGAAGGGGGCCGAAGTGAGCATATTTGGAGAGGCGGTCGACAACAACGAGAATGACCGAATAACCCTGAGAAGTTGGCAGACCTGTAATAAAATCCATGCTAATATCCTCCCATATTTGATCTGGAATAGGAAGGGGCTGAAGCAAGCCCGCCGGCGGTTGTGTGGAGAATTTAGATGCTTGACACGTAGGGCACGCGGCGACGTAGCGGCGGACATCGGCACGCATACGGGGCCAATAAAAGGATTGGGCCAAGCGATGAAAAGTGCGATGTACACCCGTATGGCCGGCAATAGGAGTATCGTGATACTCCCGAAGTAACTCGTGTCGAAGAGTGGACTGCTCCCCAATATACAGACGTGTATTATAATGCAGCAACCCATCCAGGACGGCTAATGGCGGCTGAAGGCGACCTCGCTGGTGCTCCCCGTGCAGACGAACGAGGTCAGGTTGGGTGGAGTTTTCTACCCGGATTCGTGTGAGTATCTCGGCCAGGGGTTGTGAGAAAGCCAAAAGGGTGCCAACCTCGGCCGAATCTATTTGGCGCGATAGAGCATCGGCAACACAATTGGTACGGCCCGGCTTATATTCGATACGGAACCGATAACCCAATAGCTTCCAAATATAAAACTGTTGATCGGGGGTTTGGATGACCTGTTGAAGAAGTTCACGCAAGCTACGTTGATCCGTGCGAATGAGAAACTCCCGACCCAATAAATATTGTCGCCATTTTTGCACCGCTTCAACAATGGCATAAAGTTCTTTGTGATAAGTGGACGCGGCTAGGCGACGAACTCCCAATTTTTTACTGAATTATGCAACCGGCTGTTCCTCCTGCAATAACACCGCACCAATCCCCGTGGCCGAGGCATCCGTGTCCACCACAAAAGGAAGGGAGAAGTCCGGCAGACGGAGGACCGGGGCTGTGGACAGCGCTGTTTTAAGGCGTTGAAAGGCATCTGTGGCGGCTTCTGTCCAAACAAAACTGTCTTTCTTCAGAAGGTTTGTGAGCGGGGCGGCTAGGTGGGCATAGTGATGAATAAACCGGCGATAATACCCAGTCAAGCCCAAGAATCCCCGGAGTTGTTTGAGATTCGTGGGTAACGGCCACTCGACCATGGCGGTGATTTTTTACTTATCTGCGAGAAGGTGCCCGTTGGTGATGATGTGGCCCAAGTAATCGATGGAGGGGGTGCAGAAAGAACACTTGGACAGTTTGACAAAAAATGTATGCGTGGCCAATATATTGAGAACCACCTCCAAGTGTGCGACATGCTCATGAAGGGATGGGCTGTAGACCAGGATATCGTCGAAAAACACGATCACAAAGCGGCGAAGATAAGCGGCAAAGAGTCTGTTCATACAGGCCTGAAATGTTGACGGAGCATTTGTGAGACCAAAAGGCATAACACGGAATTCGTAGTGGCCTTCATGAGTGCGGAAAGCAGTTTTATAGATATCCCGGTCATTCATGCGAATCTGGTGGTACCCCGAACGTAAATCCAATTTGGAGAAGAATCGGGCCGACCCCAATTCATCGAAGAGCTCATCTGCCGTTGGGATAGGGATAGAGTCACTGCATTCAAGGCCCGGTAGTCCACGCAAAACCTATACGACCCGTCCTTCTTCTTCACGAGTAAAACCGGAGACGAAAATGGGCTTCGACTTGGTTGGATGAGCCCCTGATCAAGCATTTCGCGAACCAGACGCTCAACCTCATTCTTCTGGAATTGGGGGTACCTGTAGGGCCGTACATTTACGGGAGGAGTACCTGGCTGTAGGAAAATTCGATGGTCACATAAGCGCCTAGGAGGAAGGCCGGTCGGCTGTGAAAAAATGGAGCCATAGGTCTGGAGCACACGCCGAATGTCGGCAGGGAGGTCGAGCGGCCAGGCTTCCTGCAAGGCAGAGGGTTTATCACTGTCAGGCGCAACAAACAACTCATAGCAAGCGGCAATGGAATTGCTCGAGTGGAGGGCGTGAAAATGATGCAACGATAACGGCCTCGGAGAGAAACTGTCACCCTTTAAACACACCGAAGTACCTTGCCAAGAAAAACCCATAGTGAGATTGGCATAATCGTGAGTAACCGTACCCAAGAGTTGCAACCACTGGACCCCGAGAACCACGTCTGGACCATGAATAGGTAGAATAAAGACGTCCACCGGAAAAGTGAACCCTTGTAGCAATAGGGGAACGTTACAACATTGTTGTGTACACACCAGAGAAGCGCCATTGCCGACATACACCCAGAACGCGGGGACTTCCATGATTGGCAGTTTGGACTTCTCAACAACCGAGGGGTGAATAAAGTTGTGGGTGCTACCCCCATCAATTAGCACGTCGACGACCGCAGACGCGATCATCCCGGACAATCGCAAAGAACGAGGCATCGTCACCCCAGCTAGGCTGTGCAGAGAGGACACGTCGGCAGACAACACCGTGTCGTCCAAGACTGGGTCCGAAGGATCTTCAACGTCATCATCCTCGAAAAGTAACAAGAAACGCCCACAATTATGGCCCTCCTTTGGCATCACGTTCCTTACGCTCGGCATACGATAGACGGCGCACGGGTAACCCAGCCGCAGATTTGGGTGCGGGCAGAGGCTGTTTTGTGCCGGGCGTGGGTAATAACGGCGATGTGGCCGGGGGTGGAAAAAATTTGGTTGGCCGCTGGGGAATGGCAGTTGTCCATGCCGTAAATTTGACCTCAAGTTCACGGGCTAGTGCAAAAGAGGCAGAGAGAGAATCGGGCTTAAGGAGCATCACCTCATGTTGCAAGTGTGGTTTGAGACCCGCATGAAATAAGGACTGCAAATTAGGCTCGGGCACTCCACTAACGTTCACCAAAACTTTCTCGAATGCCTGAGACAGCCTGAGACAGAGCCCGTCTGTTGAATCTTAGAGAGAAGAGCGAAATAATCCACATAGCTGAGCGGATCGAAGCGGAGCTTGAATTGGTTCACAAAATCCGCCCAAGACGTAAGGAGGCCGTTCCGGTGCCGCCACCGAAACCAATCAAGAGCCGGCCCCTCAAGCATCATAGAGATGGCGGGTAACCGTGCCTCATCCGGTACGGCATAGAAGACAAAATATTCGTGCGCCTTGAACAACCAGCCCAATGGATCAGACCCGTCTGTCTTTGGTATCTCCAACTTCAACTTGGACATGACGGGAATGGAATCCTGGCCGCTACCATGGGGAGGGCGGAAACCCGAACCCACATGGGGAGGCGCTTTGTCCATCCGACATAAGAATTCGTCAAAACGTTGCTGAAGATGATCCGTGTGTTGATGCAGAGATTGCATACTCGTAGTATGGGCGTGAATCTGCCGGTCGATTTGCTGCTGGAACTCCCGGAAATCTGCCATAGTAATTGCTTCAGACGTCATGGCAATGAAAGCACCAGTGATACGAGTAGTATCGGTTGGGGAGACTCGGAGCGTCTCCTTGCTCGGGAAGGGAGAAGGGAACGGAGAAGCCGGAGTTGAGACTCGACGGCGTGAGAGGGAGAAAGAGAGAATTAGAGAGAGATTAGGGTTTAATGTATTTCTTCTTATTATTAAGCAAGAGGCTTAGACCTTATTTATAATAACCCTATTCCTAAAACTACGTTATCTATCCTGACGGTTCAAGAAAAGCGACGAGGTAAAGAAACCGTAAAGAAACCCTCGAAAGAGCTTATATTTTGCTCACCTAAGAAAATCTATATTACATTAAATAAATGGAAATAATAATAATATGCATAATAGAATTATTGCATGGCAAACTCTCGTTGCCACGGTGGTGCTCGCCGAACCCTACGGCTTCGTCGAAGAGTTGGGCTGGGCTCTTCTTGATCCATAACAGCTTCATTGCTCTCTAGAAAACCAATCCTTATTCTTTTGGAAAGTGTTCCTACTCCCGAAACGAATCATTTTAGTGATTAACAATTTTGATCAGAATCAGATGCATTCCTTTAAGAACGCACACGTGCGGAATACAAGCTATGTTCTTGAGTCTCAAAAAGGATTTTACCCATGCATGTTGCTCTGGTTTAGTTTCATTGATGAAAACTTGCTTGATAAATCATTAGAAGAAGCATCTGCAATTGCTTTTGCCAAGTTCTTGTCATCACAGGCATCATAGTAGCACCCCCTGGCTTGGGAGTCCACCACCAGATCTCTCCAAACAGAACCACTATTGATCAATGTCGCACCGTTGCCCAATACCCAAAGGCAATATCTAAACAAAGATCAACAAAAAACAGAATCTTGAAGACAGCCAACCAAGAAACACAGGCTGTGTATAGTTTACTCAGTGCATATGCTTCATGATTGATTGAAACCGTACTAAATGATTTGAATCATTGATTAGTTAGTATCACTGAAGACTTTACGGAATCATTTATATGTCTCTTTTTAATATTTGAATGTGAGAGAATTAACCCATTAACCCAAAGGAACCAATAAAACAGTGTGCCACACCACCTTGCTCGAGTGAGAGCCACATTAGTGCGCTGAAAGTTTGACAAGAAGCCCACTGATCCGCTACCATTAGACCGCACTGTGGAGATGATGATAACGTCTTCTTCTCCACCTTGAAATCCATCTACAGATCTCACATTCACAGAGAAGTGGCTGTCAACGTCTGTGCTGTACTTCTTCCCAAGCTTTTGTTGGATGGCAAAAACCTGAGCCTTGTAGGGAGATATGCACCCAATGCGAACTTTTTGTTTTGAAGCTTGAAACTCTAATGTTTACCATTGAGCAAGGGAAATTGTAATTTAAAAAAAAACGACAATGAATATGAGAAACCAGTTGAAGAAGAAAAGAAACCTCTGTAGAGCATCGAAACAATCTCAGCTACTGCAAATACTTCTGCTGTGTTTTTGCTACTACATCTGTTGTCACGGTCTTCGCTTCCTGCTACGTCAATGAATGAAAAGGGTCCAAACATTTCTCCTTTGAGAAACCGCTTTTCGTATCTTTCCTTTGTGACATTTGGCCCATTCATCACCCTCTTCTCGTAAAACTTCTTGTTGGGAAAGAAACTTATAGAGGGATGCATTCTGTATTGGATGTTAAGCAGGTGCTTTGTGCGCCCTAGTTTAACCAGCCTCTCAAACAAGCTCCTCCCGAACACGGCTCTCTGGCAAATCTGTGGACAACTACTATAAAAAAAAACTCGCAACGAGCTTGCCAAACATTAAAAAAGCCATAGGGCAGTATTAAAACCTTGCTCTGAACCATTGCTGGCAGCTGTTTCTCATCTCCAATGAGTATAGCATGGCGGGCACCTGAAAGCTGCAACGGGATCGTGGACTCGCATTCCTTAAGCTGCGCAGCTTCATCAATCAACACAAGATGAACTGGTGGCATGCTCTCAGTGTGCAATTTGGATGAACTTGAGGCAGTGCAGAATATCAATACTGTCTTTTCCAGGCAAAAGCTTTGGATTTGATCCTTTATAGGACGATCAAGATCCAAAGAACTGTACGGGAGATTGATGTTTTTTAAAAGATCTTTGAGTATAGAGACACATTCCGATTTCGTAGTCTGCAATGAATCATACTGCATCTTCCACTTAACAATGGAAGAAGATCCAGTCCCATTTAGGCCATCTTTAAGACCTCCATGGGTATCAGCAATTTCCAACAATCTTTCAAGAGAATCAAAAAGGGCAAGTGCAGAAGTCATTTTCTTGACATCTTCCAAACAAATGCAGGATGTAGGCATATGAGTGTACAAGGATTCCACACAACACTTTAATAGCTCCGACAAAGCCTTGTAAGTCTTCAAAACGTATTCCTCAAAAGTCCTAAACTTTTCCTCTGTGTCATTAGGCCTCAAATTTTTTCCCTTTCTAGAGGACCTCACTTTCCCCCTTTCCTTCTTGTTTTCCTCCACGGGCCGTTCAATGACCCTATTAGCCTCTTCCAAGTAAATTTTATAAGCCACTTCTGGATTTTCCAGAAGACAAATCATTCGGCGCAAACCAGATTTCCACCCAGCCCGCCCCTTATGAGGTACCAGACACTCATAAAGAGCCTTGACTCGATAAGATAGAAACACTTTCTGCAGCTCCACGCGATCTTTAATCTTCATACTTTCCTTATTACCGTACAAAACAATGTCCCCCAAACCATAACGATCACATCGGAGCCTGTCCCTCACCAGACCCAACAGCAGCTTCGCAACTCCTATGACTGCAATGTTTGTTGGGGCACATGTCAATGTTCTGCTCTTCATGTTGTAGAGGACAGATAACAACGACGCAAGTGTCTTTGTCTTCCCAGTCCCCGGTGGACCCCATATCAGCTTCACACTTTTTTGACAATGGCATTCTCTAGCTTTTATGCAGCTCAAAACAGCCTCTTCCTGGGAGTGATCCAATCCAAATGGCTGAATGGCAGTCTTAGCCTTCAACAAACTATCATCTTCATCACCATCATCGGCTGCTTTAAGGGTACAAGTTGCACAAGTTCCTTCATCCCGCGCCCGTTCATTTGGAGGAACACTCCGTTGCAGGACTGTTCTGATTATGTCTAAGCTTGCACAGGTGGGGTTCATGTTCAGAGAGTTCCATATGCGAGTATTTGTTGTCAAATTGGTAAGATAAACAACAAAAAGTTTGTCTTCCTTGTTAATCTGATCCTTCTTCTTCTCATCCTCCTCAGAATGTCTTTCAAAGTTTATAGGCTTTGATGACGATACGGGGAAACAACCTAAATCTTGATCATCTTCATCGTCATCCTCATCATCTTCTGGCATGCCTTTGACCACAGCTAAGAGGAAAGGTATCTTTGGTCTGTTCAGATCCTCGATTCGCCTGGGCCTCACATCGGAGAAGGCGATTAAATCCCCTGACTGCGGTTTATAACACACTTCAGTCTTATGAACACCACCATCATCCTTCTCTCGACGGAACCAAATCTCGTAGCTGTAACCATCTTCCTCTCTGCTTCCTCTGCTCAACGAGAGACTGCCAGAAAAGAGCCTTTGACGAGTTTCGACATCTTTGGCGGGACCCACCACGTCGAAGACCTCACAGGACGGGGCATGGCGCAGTGAGCTTGTCATGTTTGCGCATAAGTCGGCACGCGTTTCTTCCAGAAGTGGATGCATGAATGAGCTCAGGTAATCCTCTGTTCCCAAGAACGCTTCTGGGATTTCTCTAACCTGGTAATTAACACAGCAACATAGCTTAGTACACTACATCAGTGCTTATATTTATATAACCAAAAATTGATATGAATATATTCATACTAATAATAACTCCAGAAAATCTAAAGAGGAGTATATAATATTGAAAACAAACCTTGTGGGTGTACAAATATTTATTCATCACGTCTTGTAGAGACCAAGAGAACACTATATCAGTCAGGCTTCGCTGCCCTCGATTTGCAGCTTCCATCAATATATTGTTATATTATACTACGGATTATAATATATATTATTCCTGAAGGAATTGAAGATATATGGAATTTATCTTGCTTGATATAATTCTCCAAGACAAAAACCAATCAATATTAAAAGTAGCTACAAGTAAGCTTGATGATGAAAGAACATCATTTCGATAGTTGTATAATTAATAATGATGAATGCTTATTCAATTTCCAATACTCTTTTTCTTCATCATTTACCAATTCCCAATATTTTTTTAATTTTTCTCAAATATTTTGACTCAATTTTTAATTCTTAACATGTACATGAAGCGTATTCCAAACATATTTTGAATCAATTTTTAATTCTTAACCCGATGAAATGGAATAATTCAATCGATCAAAAATAATCCAGTCAGCGTGGGACAAGAAACTAGATTGACATGTTAAAAATTATGCAGTGACAAATCACTATTTTTGTCACTTTTTACATTTTTGTGACATATTTTAATTATTAAAAATTATTTTAATTATCTTTTTTTTCACAAAAACACATGTACTTCGTTCGTTTTTAAAAATTTTGCCTCGCTTATTACACGCAATGCGTGGTGGAACTTTGTTGCCATGCTTGGAATCCTTGGTTTAATTTGCAGCTGATGTGGCAGGGCGAGGGAGCCAGCCTCTACGCCACTGCACATGCTCTAAGGCTACTTTCAGGGGTGCGGACTTGTGGTTCCTCTTCTCTTTCCCTTTTCTTCCAATTTTTAATATTTTTTAACACTTATTTTAATTTATTTGTCTTGGGGAATCAATATGCGTCGCAACCTCTTTTTCCGATTCACACAACCAAGCTATTTCACACTCACGCACACACTATAATACAAAGGCACAATTTCACAAAAAAATTAAATATTTTATTTATACGATATATTTCCAAATACGGAGTAACTTTAACAATATGAAACATTTACTCTCAATTTTATGATATCATATTTCTAATTTTATTTATTATATTCTCATACTAGAAAACTAGTGTTAACCTTGTGTTTCGCACGCGCTCATATACATTCTAAACTTTTGACATTCTATAAATATAATTTTATTTATTTTAAATGAATATTTTTTCATTCTAAGATATACGGAGTATATTTTTTAAATAAAAACTATAATTTAACTATTGATGTACATGCACTAAAATTTCTATTACTATTTTATTTAAAAAATAATTACATTAGATAAAATATAAAAATGCCAAAAAAAATCTAATATTTTTAAAGGTGAAATCTTTTTTCATTTTTCTGAAAGTGAAATATTTTTAAATTAATAATAAAGAGTCTTATACATACTCTTCTTTAAAATTTTACAATCAATATGCATATTTAAAACACGGAATAAATTTTACAATGGTGAAATATATGTTTATAGAATTGTTAGAAAATGTTAAAGTTTTAGACAAAATATAATCAAAGTAATGTTTTTAATGCTAAAAAATAATATTCATTTAATATAATACAATAAAATATAGAGTAATTCTATAATTAGTCCCTATTTATCCTCTATTATCAAATATTAGTCTACTGGTCCTTCTTTTATGAGTATCTTTCCACAAATAGTCCTTTTTTTATCTGCTATCATGTTGGTGTTAATTTGAGGGCTAAAAGTGTAATTTCACAATGATAATATATTTTTTTGTCATACACAATTCCAAAGACTGTTCCGCTTGTGTCGTTTATTAATTACAATCGCTTTCTACTACAACCATAGTTTACAAATGTGGTCTTTCGTCAGAATCCTAACCCATAATCATAGTCATTATTTTTGTGTTATCCGCTTAACCAATATCATAACACGTCACTAGACATAATGTTGATGTCAAATTATACTTTTAGCTTTTAAATTAACACCAACACGGCAGAAGATCAAAAAAAAATGCGGGTTACGGAGTAAAATTTGATTACAAATTGCGGGTTACGGAGTAAAATTTTCTACTTTTTGAAATTATTTTATTTACAAATTGGTATATTAATAATATATAAAAATTACATTTTAAAAAACTACGTCAAAAGTTCTACAAAACAAGAGGTGACAAGAATATTTTATTTTATCAAATACTTAATGAAATCGCATAAACAAACAAAAGTTATCGAGAGAAGAGAGAAAAAAATTGTAATCTATTTAGGGACGGAGGGAGTAGTATTTTTACCCGTGCTACGCACGGATTCGGACGAATTATTTTCAATACAATGTGAATCTTGATTTTTATTTCACATATTATTTAAAAGTCAAATAGAAATGATCTAGGTTTGATGTAATTCTACAAATCTATAATTTTTTTCCTTGTACAAATTCAAAAATATATTAATACAAAAAGTATTAGTGATCCAATGATTCTTTTTCCTCACATTAATTTAAAAAATCTAAATCACTGATCTTATAATTATATACTCCCTCTGTCTCGGAGTATTTGTCCATTTTTGATTTTTTTGTCAAAATTGGTAAATTTTGACCTCAAATTAAATAAAAATGATATTAGATATTGATACAAAATTAGTTTTATTTGATTCATTATATCATTCATTTTCAAAATACGGAGTATTATTTTTTCAACTTAATATATAATATATATTTTATTTAATTATAAGTCAAATGTTGAAAACAGTTAATCAGAAAAAGTCAAAACTGGACAAATACTTTGGGACGGAAGTAGTAATTAATAGGGTTCTTCTCATCCGTAATCCCAACTGCGCCCCCCCCCCTTCCCGCAATGATTATAAAAAATTATTATTCTTTCTTGCATTATTAAAAACAAAATCTTAAATTAGTTATCCTAAATCTCTATTATTAAAATTTTTAACTTTAAAATATTAAGAATCAATTATTCTTCTCCCCCACATTAAAATGTTAGTGCTCCAATGATTTTGTCAAGATATTATTCTGGTCAATATTATGCATATAGCACTCCTTAATCTTTATACGAATTTAGCTATTTATATTGTCAGCATCTTCCAAGGATACCCGACCTCTACCTTTTATTATATTCTACTATTTTTAATTATTCGATTAAACTTTTGATGCAGTTTTTAAATATTTAAATTTATTTTTTAGTTTTTTTGTAAACTTTCTCACATCAAAAAATTTTTTTAAAAAGATGCTCATGTAAGAGCACTAGTAATACCCGCAATGCCCCACGGCGTGATGGGGCGTTTAACGCCCCGGCGGCGTTAAACACCGCCCCCCTCCGGGCGTGATCGGGCGTTGCGGGCACTGCGTCAAAGGAATGACGCGGCGTCATTCCACTCCCTCCCCCTCCCCAACGGCTTTATAGCCATTACAAAATTTAAAAAAAAATTATTTTTTTTCCTATAAATTCAAAAGACCATGCTACACTTACACCAACAAATATACCCCATTTGTACACCACAGGTTTGCACCGACACAAGTGTTGGTGCGTTAATAAAAATTCACACGGACACAAATGTCGGTGCGTTTAACAAAAATTAGTTTTACACCAACACAAAATGTTGGTGCAAAACTGCGGGGTACAAATCTTGGGGTACACATAGCATACAAATTCAAACCCTCCCCCCTCTCAATCTCTCACACTTTCTCTTCTCAATCTCTTCTTCTTCCCATTTTAAAATTCGAAATTACTCTATTTTTATTCATCATGAATCCTTCCGGCTCCGGCTTCTTTCCCGACGATCTCCCGCCCGTCGACGCCGCGATGTGGTTTTACCAAGAGTTGGACGATCGACCACCGATGTACGAGACGCAACAACCGGAGTACGTTGACCGAGATTCGGTTCCGGAGACTCAACCGGAACCGTCCGGATCGAAAAAAAGTACACGCCGGAGGAGTTACAAAGCCAAAACCACGTTGACCGAGGCGGCACGGTCAATCCAAAAGTGGACGCCGGAGGAGGAGTGCATATTGGCGTCGGCTTGGGTTGACGTCTCCGAGCATCCTATTGTTGGTAAAAAAAATTTCTAATATATTTATGTTTTTATTTATATATATTATATTTAGTGGTGTCTAAAAAAATTGTGTAATACATTTTTAAAGGTAAGGAGCAAACGATCAATGCGATGTGGGATCGTATCGAGGAGAAGTTCTTCACGGCGATGAAGAAGGACGGCTCCTACCGAACCCGTGACCAACTCACTTCCAAATGGGGCCACATCAACAAAAAAGTCCGAAAGTTTATGGGAGTATACGAGGAATGCTCCCGGTCCTGGAGGAGCGGCACGAACGACGCCGATGTTCTCCGGCTTGCCACGACCCGGTATCAAGACGACGGGAACCAAGGCAAGGTGCCCATCGATCTTTGGAGGATTTTGAGTCGTTCCCCGAAGTGGCAACAACTCAACAATCCCGACGGCGGATCGTTCCGGAAAAGATCCACCGTCGACGCCGAGGTTGAGGTCGACGAGACCATTGGTTCTACCGATCAAATCCCTTCCTTCAACGTTGCGGCTTCCGATGACGAGGACCCCATTCCACGGCCGATCGGAAGAAAGAAGGCAAAATCCATTGCCTCTGGTTCGGGAGGGTCCGCCTCTGTTTCCGNATCGGCCTGGCAATGGTTGAACAACTTCGGGCGTTCAATCTCCAAGAACAGGAGAGGTTGAAGCTTAAAGAGAAGGAGTTGAAGCTAAAGGAGCAGGAGGCCGAGATGAAAGTCATGCAAACCGACCCCGGGACGTTGTCGGAGTTTGGACAAATTATCTACGAGCAAAGAATGAGAGAGATCAAGGAGAAATATAATTTACCTTAGTTTTTTATTAATGTATCTTTTTTTTTAAATTATTGTCGCTTTTTTTATTTAATTAATGTGTTTTTTTATTATTCGTGTTTCAATTTAATTAAATAATAAATTAAGTACATTTTATTAATTTAATTTTAGAAGATGTATATTTAAAAATGTAAAAAATGAAGGTTTGAAGCCCAGTTTTGAAGCCCCGGGGCTTCAAACCCATTTCCAATGAATTTTGAGTGTAAGTTAAAGCTGACGTGGCAGAGAGAGAAAGTTTGAAGCCCCGATTTGAAGCCCCGGGGCTTCAAACGTATTACCAGTGCTCTAATAAACATTTACATTTACTAATCACCTTCATCTCTGGATTCACATAAAAATATGTGAACTTAAAAATCCTCTATAGCATTTATCAATTATCAAAGAGATGTACTTCCGTGATCATAAAATTCACATGTAAAATAAAGATTCTTGATTTTTTTTCAAAAAGCCCAATGTACCCATGAATTTATAAATACTAAAATTCATAAAATAAAGGTGGACCTTAAAACCATAGAAGAATTTGATATTTTCAAAATACTTATGGGAAGGCTGTTTAAATTCACCCGTGCAAATACCCAACATTCTTCTCCCCCACATTAAAATGTTAGTGCTCCAATGATTTTTTCAAGATATTATTCTGGTCAATATTACGCATATAGCACTCCTTAATCTTTATACGAATTTAGCTATTTATATTGTCAGCATCTTCCAAGGATACTCGACCTCTACCTTTTATTATATTCTACTATTTCTAATTATTCGATTAAACTTAGGTTATTCACGTAGTTTACCAATGTATAATGCGTAAATAAGTTCGTACGTATTAAATTAAGTTCCATATTATATAAACGCACATGTTGGCCATTGTGTTTTGGTTTAATAGATTATTCATGAAATCAGTCATACATATTTGGGTAATGTGGAATTCATACATGAAAATAGTCATACACATTTTTGGCAGTGTAGAATTTATACATGAAAACAGTGTGGATTTCATACATAAAAATAGCTATACATTTTTTTGCAGTGTGGAATCCATACATGAAAATAATCATACACTTCTTGACAGTGTAGAATTTATACATGAAAATACTGCCACATACAATCAATGAACATTACACTCCAACATGGAATTAAGGAACACAATAACTTACACACTATCGTAAGATAATACGGAGTAAGATATAACAACATATATTCATTTTACACTGCAACACTAAATACTCGCATATAAAAAACATATTGCCCACTACACATTTACAAGTGAACAACCACACTGCCCAAAACAATCATATTTTTGACAGTGTGTAATGAATATATTTTTCCACTCTACCCTATAGAAAAAAAATAACTAATCTGTGTTTGCTGAACACACAGGTTCAGTCAGAACTTTTTAGGATATAACTAAACTGTATTATCTGAACACATAATTCACTGAAAGGAATTTAATATTCAAAATATTCCCTAGTAGGTGATTGCCCCCAATCTATCAATAGTACATTATTACCCATCCATCACCTTTTTTTTTTCAAATTTTTATCAATTGGTTAGATACACAGTTGGGTTCAAATTACCATCCCTACGAGAATGAGAGAGACAGTGCACATAAACCGAACCGACAAACACTTACTAATTACAGTATTAATTCGACTTCGTAATTACGATGGTCATTCCCTGTCCATTTCTAGATATTTGTTCATCATTAGTTCTTTCCCCATTTCTTTTGAGTGCAATGCTTTGATTTACTCATTTTTTTCACTTAAGTGAGAAAAAAAGTTTCCTTTCCACTCTCTAATCAAACAAAAAAAAATATTTTATTTTTTTATTTTTCTTCCTTTGAAATTCCCTAAACGAAACATAATATTAGAAAATTTGAATAATAGAGTTATTAAAAATAATACTTCGTAAAAAGATCAATACTCCATACAATAGAACAATGGACTCACATTTACGGTGTAGATTGTGTTATTAAAAAGTACGGTATCTCACATCGGAAAAGTGTCCGTGTGGAATATATATCCAATGGCATGTGTCCTGTTTAACCTGATTGTTCGTCTGAAAGTCCATACCTAGCGGCTCATAGTCTTTTAGGAGTTGGCGTTCAAAAAATTCAAGGAGTAGGGAATCCATTTACAAGTGGTCAACAAATTAGATCCAAAATGATTTGGTTGTCCACTTGAGAGAGTGTCATCACATCGAAAAGTGATAAGAAACTAAAGGATATATAAGCTTCTGGATTGGACTAAGTAATCGATTGAATTCAATCAATTACTTAGTCCAACTCAAGTATATACGTTCAATTTCTAACTTTTAATGAGTTTTTTTGTAATATCTCTATCCCTAAGGCTATGTGTAGCGCTTCATCTCCACTCACTCCAAATAAGCAACCGCTCAGCGTCATGTCAGCATTGACTACACTCGCCATCTCACTTACTTGAAACCGGTAGTGTCTCACTTCCACAACAATAATTGTACTTTTTAATTAAATATTAACCTATTTATATTCAAATTAGAAAATCTATCTTTTGAAAAAGAATAAAAAATATTTGTTTATTGTTGGGTTTATTAATTTTTTCCGTTTAGTTTTCTCTTTCGGGTTTGTTATTTTTTCATGTTTATATCCCGTTAATTTTTTATGTTTTGGGTTTTCTTTTTTCCCTTCTTTTAATAGTATAACAAAAAGATAAAGAGATATAAACAACACTAATTTTAAAAAAAGTACATGAAAGAAAAAAATGATACAAGTAAAACAAAAAGAAGTTTAATTTAAAAGAAAAATTTAAGTAAAACATAATTTATACTTAAAACGTGTTTCGTTAAAAAAAGTGAAATCTGCACTGAATAAAACGTAGTTCTTTCAATTCAGAAGTGTTTGAGCAAAAATAGAAGTGAGACGTAATCTGAAAATTACATATGCAATTTTGGTGTCGCTGGGTAAATCTTGTAAAAAGATTTCCAATCGTATATTTTTTCAAGTAATGACTTATATACAAAAAGTTATGAACAAAATAGATGATAGAGTTCGAAAGTAAAAGAAAAAGAAAAAAAAATTAACAATGCCTTAACTCCGGGCCGTGCTCACGGCAGTAACAAAGCGAATGGACCCGAGACAAAAGGCCCGATGTTCACCAGTGATCACGCCATACGTGGCATTGCCATGTCAGATCACGAAACGTTGGGCGAGGAGCACTACGATTAGTCTACAGGATATTCATGTTTCATTTTTTCAACATGACATAAAATAAGTGAAATTTGCACTAAATAGGACTAAAACATACTCCGTAAGTCATTTCCCAATGTAGAACTATACTTTTTTTATATTCTAAATTGTACTTAATATTGTGAAATAAAAACATATGGTCATATAGAAATCATCCTAAATAGAACTAAAACATAGATAAAAGTACCAAAATAGGACTTTCATGTTTTTTTTTCCCGGAATAGGACTTTGCATTGTGGTAATGTGACCTTGCATTGTGGTAATGTGGCAGTGTACATGTGCAAATTACTATGTTTTTTGGTAATGTATATGACCATGGTTCGTAATGTAAGTCCTATTTTGGGAATTAAAACATGGAAGTCCTATTTTGGTATATTTTCAAACTTTTAGTCCTATTTGGGTCTTTCTCCCTATGAGCATATATTGAGAAAGTTATTACTCCGTATGTTTTAGTTCTATTTAGGTAAATTACACATAAAATAATTCTACCTCACCTTAAATATCTAAAATATCCTCAAAATAATTTCTACAATTCTACCCGTGATAAAGAAGAAATTGGGGTTGCAGCAGAACTGGTTTGTCTTCTTCATTTGTTCTAATCCATAAGAACATATTTGTAAAAAAAATAATCACTAAAACCCCACTTTATATCAAGTCTTTCTATTATGTGTCCAGAACTGGTTTAAGGTTTTCCCTCCTATTTGGTTTTGCTCCATCTTTAAAAAAGTACTCAAAAATATCTTACTTTTCATGACAGAGTGGAAACTGAATGGACTCACTCCTACGGCACTGCAGCTTATATACACATACTCCGTATCTTCTTTTTACTTTGACTTCAAGTATTCTTAATTGAAATTATTTACTATCCAAGCTCTCATCTTCCAATCCAGCTAAAGAAGAATGGATGTTTCTGTGAAGAACAAGAAGAAGAAAGAAAAGAAACATGTTAAAGGGAAGGGGTTGATTGATGCTGTCTTCTCCTGGTCTTTGGAAGATGTTCTCAACAAATTCTTGTACTCACACAAGGTCTGTTTCTTCACTCTTTGAACTTTATTCAACCAAAGAGTAAAGTGTTTTTGTTAGAGAAGATCACTCATGAAGTGTTTTACTTCTATTACTATATATGATCTAACAGTTCTAATGTTCTTGCATTTGATTCAGGTAAAACAAATCCCAGAAACCTTCTTGACCACAGCTCACTACCTCACCTCTTTCATCTACCCGCTTTTGGAAGAAACGCGGGCAGATTTGCAGGCGAACATGACGAACTCGCTGCACCATGCCCCTGCGTGTGAGGTGAAAAAGCTGGGCATTACCAAGGATTTCGACCCTCCGAAAGCTCTGTTCTACAAAATCATGTTGAAGAGAAAGAGAGAAGGGCAGCATGCCGACAGTCGTATACTGCCATACAAACCAGAGTCAGGGGATGTAATAGCACTATCTGATGTGAGGCCAGAGCGCATTGAGGATCTTTACAGGCCAAAGATGCCTTATTTCATAGCTGTTGTGCAGGCCAAGGATGAAGAAGACGAATCCGATTGGTTTACCATTTTGTCAGCTAAGCGACTTGGCTTCCTCAGAGGTTTGGAGGAGGACCGGCGAAGGGGAAACAAGCTTTTTATCGTCTATCTCACTAACTTGACAACAAATATTCGAATTTGGAGCTCTTTGAATGTGAACCCAAAAAACGCAAGTTTAGAGATTGTCAAAACAGTGCTTCAAAGTGACCCAAATCCAAATGCAAGATATTTCTCTCTTTTTTTCTACCTGTTTATACTTTTATGTTCAAGTGATCTTGTTCTGAAGTTTAGATTTAACCGATGAAAGTTTAAATCATGTCCAGGATGAAGGAAGGCGGGCCCTTTGCACCTGTGAAGGAATCGAAGAAGGAGAAGATTCTATTTTACTGAAGAAGGCTAAGACTGGCATTCAGTCATTTGGATTGGATGTTTCCCAGGAAGAAGCCATTCTGAGTTGTGTAAGAGCCAGGCAATGCAGGCACCAAAACACGGTGAAGCTAATATGGGGTCCGCCAGGGACTGGGAAGACAAAGACGGTCGCATCCATGTTATCTGTCCTCTACAACATGAAATGCAGAACCTTAACTTGTGCTCCGACAAACATTGCAGTCCTAGGAGTTGCAAAGCGGCTGATGGAAATTGTAAGGGGCAGTCTTGAATTTGATAGTTATGGTCTTGGAGACATTGTGGTGTTTGGTAACGGCGAAAGGATGAAGATTGAAGATCACGAGGACCTGTGGGACGTGTTTTTGTCTTATCGTGTCGATGCTCTTCTTAGCTGCATCTCTCCTTTAGTGGGATGGCAGTCTGGTTTGTTGCAGCTGATCAATTTGTTGGAAGAGCCCGAGGAGGCCTATAAAAAGTACGTGCAGACAGTAAAAGAGGAGGAAGGGAATGAGGATGAAGCTGATGGGAAACAGTTGGAGGAACAAGAAACTACGGGCTCGAAAACCTCAAAGATAAACAAGAACTTGAAGAAGTTCATTGTAAAGACAGTGAAGGAAAACAAGAAGAAAAATATCGCTGTGAAAGGCAAGAAAAAGGCTGTGAAGAAGAAGGTAAAGTTTTGGACTTTTGAGGAGTTCTTTATGAGAAGGTATAAATCCTTAGCTGAGCAGTTGGAGTTTTGTGTGGCAACCTTGTACACTCATTTTCCCACTTCCTACATTCGCTTCGAAGTAGTGAAGAAGATGATTGGGGCACTTGATTGCCTACAATCTCTTGGAGACTTGTTGAGAATTGCTGAGAGTAGTGGAGGACTTAGAGTTGGACTCAAGGGGGATGGATCTTCTTCTCGCGTTAGTTTGAAGAAATCAGAATGTGTTGTTCTACTAAACTCTCTTCGTACATGCATAAGACTACCAAATTTTCGCGGAAAACATGAAATCCGGACTTTTTGCCTGCAAAATGCACTCTTGGTTTTCTGCACTGCCTCAAGCTCATCCAAACTGGACACCATTCGAGCAAGTGAAGATGGCCCGGGGCCATTAGAGCTGTTGGTGATTGACGAAGCAGCACAGCTCAAAGAATGTGAGTCCACTATCCCATTACAGCTATCTGGTCTTCGCCATGCTATACTCATCGGGGATGAGAAGCAATTGCCAGCTATGGTTCAGAGCAAGCTTTGCGAGAAGGCTGAATTCGGGAGGAGCTTGTTTGAGAGGCTGGTTAAGTTGGGACGCAAGAACTACCTGCTTAACATTCAATACAGAATGCATCCCTCTATCAGCTTCTTCCCCAACAGGATGTTTTACGAGAAGAAGGTGATGAATGGGCCTAATGTCACGAAGGAAGGATACGAAAAGCGGTTTCTTAAAGGAGAAATGTTTGGGCCTTTCTCCTTCATTGACATAAGAGGCGGAGGCGAAGACCGCGATGACACTTGTAGTACTAAAAACATGGCAGAGGTTTTTGCAGTTGCTGAAATTGTCGCTATGCTCTTCAGAGGTTGCTTTCTTTCTTTAACTGGTTTTTCATCTTCATCGTTGTTTTTCTTTTTGGAAAGATAATGATTATCCCTAGTTCAATGGTACTGCTAGAGTGTCAAACCTCAAAACAAAGAGTTCGCATTGGGTGCATATCGCCGTACAAGGCTCAGGTTTTTGCCATCCAACAGAAGCTTGGGAAGAAGTACAGCACAGACGTTGAGAGCCACTTCTCAGTGAATGTGAGATCCGTAGATGGCTTTCAAGGTGGAGAAGAAGATGTTATCATCATCTCCACGGTACGGTCTAATGGTAGCGGATCAGTGGGCTTCTTGTCCAACTTCCAGCGCACTAATGTGGCTCTCACGCGAGCAAGGTACCAAGAATTTTCAACCTCAGCTCACAATGTGTTTTTTTAAAGTTTCAAATAATGTGCCTTGCTAACTTCAAGATTCTGTTTTTGTTGATCTTTTTGTAGATATTGCCTTTGGGTATTAGGGAATAGTGCTACATTGATCAACAGTGGTTCTGTTTGGAGGGACTTGGTTTTGGATTCTCAGGCGCGGGGCTGCTACTATGACGCCTGCACTGTCAAGAATTTGGCAAGGGCAATTGCAGATGCATCATCTGATGATTTAACAAGAAAGTTTTCATCAATGAAACTCAGCAATAGTTATATTCCTGCAGGGTAATCTTTTTCCTAAATTTGAGGTTCAACAAAAAAAAGAATTCTTTTTAATCTTGAGGCAATCTTTGAGTGTTTCTTGATCAAAAGATATATAACTATGCCTTTCAGGAACAGGAAGGTTTTCTAGAATAACAAGGCCTGGTTTTCTAAAGAACATGGAAGCGGCTCAGAATAGCATCAATAAAACTGACGAACGAGTTGAATTTGAAGAATGAAGATTTGCTGAAGCTGTGCTCACTATCATCAGGGTGCAATCATGTACTATTTACTTGCCATCAACTTGTTGCTGAAAAAAGAAACATTGCTCTAATTTTGTTCTTTAATGCTAATTTTGTTGTTTAACATATGTATATCATCAATGTACTGGAAGTACTAGTCATTAACATCAAGCTATGCAAGTTTCTCTCATTATGTGAAGAAGAATATGCTGGTCCATAAAAAGTGAATTGAAGGCCTGTCATTCAAATTCTATTTTCCTGTCTTAATTTAAAGTTATGCCTGAAGAATCTGAATGAAATACTAAATTTGACTAATAAATCTGGAATCTAATAACCACATAGTGTTTGTGAAAATGCATGTATGAGCTTTGATTTGTACTGCCTGATTGGAGTACCTGGTTTTGCTTCTCTTGCATTGTTTGTCTTGATTACCTTCTCAAGTGTCTAGCTGCCAACAAACTTTGTTCCTCCCATTAATACTTTTTTTTTTTGAAAAAAATCATATGACAACATTTTCCTAGAAGGCAAATTCTTCAATAGTCCTAAGCTCCACATTCATTTTATGAACTTTATATAGATACTATAGATGAATTGAAGTCTTTGAAAAAATAAAAGGTTTCCATGTCGGCCCAATTACAAGTGTGAGAAAATCTATATTTCACATGTGAATCTTAATATCATAGAAGCAAAACTCTTGTTAGAATTTGAAATTTTACATTAGTTCAATATTACAACTATGTTTTTTAGATAAGAAAAATAGAGTTGGAGGATGAAAAAACTGGAAGAAATTGAAAAAAAAGATAAGAGTTCAAGCTAGAAAAAACTTATGAAGTTTGAAGAATTTGGCAAGGGTTTGAAAAAAATTGGATAAAGAATAACTGAATTTTTGTGGAAGGAATTTAAAAACATGGAATTATAGAGGTTGAATTAAATATAGAAGTTGAAATAAATATTGCTTCGTACATTGTAAACATTCATATTTTAAAATAGAGGTTGAAATAAGTATTGCTTCCAACTTCAAACACTTCTACATTTCATATGTTAAAATACACCATTTGAAAAAAAGATGCATGCATTATGCAACCTAGTTTTTAAATATAGAAATATTTGCACTAAATAGCACTAAAACCTAAGTCATTTCCCTAAATAACACTTAAATTGTTTTATTTCCTAAGTAGCACTTTATAATGTTCATAATGTCCAGTGATGGTGAATGCTAAATATATTAATTATATTTACTATCTTTGTAATTATTATGTTACCATACCTGTATAGACTTCTTATTATGGCTCTCTTACTATGATTAGGATTGAAGCATCTACTATATATTGATGTAACCTCTACACAATTATTGATTGAAAATATTTCTTCTACATGGTATCAGAGCCACAAAACCCTAAACCCTAACCTCCTCAACTCTCTCTCTCGTTCGGCCCTGCTCGCCGCCAGCCCCGCCTCCCCTCGGCGGCCTTCTCTCCCGGCGACGCTGTTTCCCTCCCGGCGGCCCTCTCTCTTCTCCTCTCTCCATGGCCGAAAATAGTGAGGTTATTTCCCAAAATATGTCTTCCAAAACCCCTCATCTTGCTCTCACAACTATCTCCAATGTGAGGTTGCATGTTCCCGTTCAACTCAGTCTCTCACAACCGAACTACAAAAAGTGGAGTCGTCTGTTCCTCCTCCTCGTTAGGCGATTTAACCTTCAGGGATTCCTCGATGGATCTGTCGTCCCCCTCTCTGACGACGATGACGAATGGTGCCAACTCGATGCCCTTCTCCAGGGTTGGATTCTCTCCACCATCACCGATGAAGTTTCAGATCTGGTACTCTCTTCTCTCACCACTGCTTCTGGTCTCTGGAAGGTCATCCACGACCTATTTCACGACAACAAAAATGCCCGGGCCAGGCAGTTGGAGCATGAATTTCGCACCACCGTCAAGGGCTCCACCTCCATGGCGGCCTATTGTCAACAACTCCAAAATCTTGCCGACTGGCTAGATGATGTCGATGCACCGGTCTCTCAGCACCAACTGGTCCTCCAGATGCTCTGAGGGCTTCCCGAAGATCTACAGGCTCAAACCTCGTTCATGCAGTTTCAGGATCCTATGTCGAATTTTCTTCAGGTTCGATCGGCTCTCATGCTTTTGGATCGCCAACGGTCAAACCCCGTTGACCCCGGGACCTCAGCCTTGCTCACTACCCGGGCCGGCGGTCAACTCCATGGCGGGACACACGGTGGCAGCAGCGGCTATGGTGGACCACATGGCGGCAGCAGCTACGGTGAAGGGAACCCGGGACAGCGCGGCGGCTATGGACGTGGCCAAGGACGTGGCGGTGGAAATCGGGGCCGTGGACGTGGACGTCAAAACGGCTCTAGACAGCGACAAACCCATGACGGAAATACTACCTGGCACTCACCTCACCCAAACCCCACCCCTGGCCTGCTAGGGCCACGACCCACACCCCACCCATACCCCCCATGCCTACTACACCACCACT